TTTTATTTTTTTATTATGTCAATTACAAAAAATTGAAAAATTAAGAAGAAAAACAATACAAAGGGTATTACTAAAAAATTATCTAATAAATAGTTACTGTTTTTATGTGCAGCACTTTTCTTAATTGATACATCCAACACTTTATAGTATTGCAAACCATAATTACATTGTTAAAACTTACCACCCATACAACAGCATTAATTATGAGATTTTCCGGGATTCCACCATATAGATACCCCTCATAGATGACACTTGTCTTATTGCCAGAAACAAGAGGAAAAGAACACGTGTCGCTGCTAAAGTTACTGCTTTTAGGATCGTTTTGGAGTAACTCCATGGCTCAGCTTTTCAAGTATTTCTGTTTTAAAATTGGCTAATTCTTCTCACAATTTTTGTTGATGGACATACATCATATCGATTCTTTGAAGCTTTGAAATTTGACTCATTCCATGTGATCTGAAAATATTGTATAAAATTTGTTGTTATTATTAGCAAACAAACTGAACAGAGGCTTCAGATAAAGATCTTGAAGTTTTATATATAATTTTTTTTTTCTTTTTCTGTTAATTGTAGAATGTCAACCTCTTGCTATCACAATGGACTTTTTCCTCATTCAGGATCGGCCCTAAAATGGTAAATCTCTGGCAAGACCCTAAGTGCTTATAAGTGCAGTATGTATTTATGTAAATCCTTAAGTACAACCTGTGTAGAACCATCATATTTCTTCAAGTCAAGCTGCTGCGGCTTCCTGAGAGTCATTATTAATCATGATTGTGGTATTTACCTAACAAACAAGATCTATGACAATACTGTAAAATACTGTAAAGTTCAAATGAAAATTTTCCAAATTTACTTCTGGAATAAGACCTCAGATCTCCTCTGTGCATTTCTTAGACACCATCTGGCACCTAAGTAGAATCTGACACCAACCATTTTCAAGTTAGATATTGCCATTGGTAAGTCGATTAAGTACTTTTGAATGGTTTAATATAATATCTGCATTTTTTTTTGCATGATAAAGAACACTGTACATGTCCCAGTCCAACCAATTAAATCTATGCATTTATTCAAATTAATCTGTAATCTATACATAGTAGTAAATACCAGTATGTGTTGCATGATTTATAAAAGTTTGAACTTCTAGTAAATATTATTTTGTTAAATTCTATTGAATTAAAGATTAAAGCTAACCTATAAATCAAGCTGGCATAAATTTCGGACTGTACAATAAAGATAACAACATGAATATAAAGCTATTGTATGCTTGTTATCCTGATAAATTATGCAGACGGCATGTTTTATGAACAATGAGGGACAAACAGAAACAAGACATTTTAGATTTAATCTTTCAATATAATCAGAAGCTTGAGTGAGAATGTTTTCCACACCTTAACAGTGAATTCCCTATATAAACCACACAAACGTTGTTGATAATCAATCAATAGAAATCACAATAAAAATGTACATAAACATTCAATATTTACAACACATATATTTATTCCATGTTTTTATAGAGTTACCTGCCCTTTGGTATACCGATATCTACTTTATATTTGGTAAGTCACATGTGAATGAGATCTAAATCTAAATATAGCTATTTGTGTATATAAAAATCACAACATGTCCTATTTAATAAATAAAATGATAAAACCACTTACATACATGATAAATAATCTATGATATTAATTCATATCTAACTGATGATGGCTCAAGGACATATTGTCACATCTAAACCATAAAACCCTTAACTTATAAAAAAGAAGTTGTCATAATGTGGTTACATTTGATACAAGCATGTTTTTTTTTGTTGTTTTTTTTTTTAAATTTTATTTTTTGGACAAGTTTCAATTTGAAATAGAACAATTGTACAATGTCATGCACTACTTTAAATATTAGTTGGCTAATCATGACAATGACAAGGCTATAAAGCTTCATATCTTTCTACAATAGGTTTGTTTAATAAAGTGCAATCACAAAGGCAATGTTGGCCTTACAAACTATAGTGTGTGTCTCCAGGATTCAAGCTCAGGTGGGATCATATCTTGAAACTGATAATTAGCTTGTAGCTGTCACAACTAAAACCTTGCTATTAAAGTTTTCTGCTATCATGGCATAATAAATAGAGGATATTGAATGAGTGTAAGTTCAATACTGAATTTATTGCACGAGTTGAATAAAATTATATTATGCGAGCCTCTGGCGAGCATAATATTATTTTATTCAACGAGTGCAATAAATTCAATAATGAACTTACACGAATTTAATATTCTATTTATCACATACCCAAAATAAAGACCGTTTAAAGTGAAATAAGAGTCATTTTTCATTGACGCGCCGATAGTATAACGCTAACATTTAGCGTGTCTTTACACTATGTTTGTATAACGCTAATGACGTCACGTCAAAATATATGCACGGCCGTGCAATACCATATTTACGGAGTCGCAAAATCGGCACGGGTGTGTGATAAATCACTATAGTGATGTGACAATTATAAAAATCTAAATCAATACAAAGGTATTAAAATAATACCGCCAATATTCACCACCTTTTGTTAAGGATGGGAAAGAATATTTATCTAGAATCAATATTTCAATACCTGTATTTGACTCTGTTTTAAGTAATCTGGTAGTCATCTCAATTTTGACACTAGTTGCTGAAACTGCTACAGATTTATTCTACTAAGTAAGGCAAACTGCTAAGTGGCCTAGTGGTTAAGGTGCTTGCCTCTCAACCCTGAGCTAACAGGTTTGGGTCCTACTTTGGTCAAGACGCCAAGTGTTTCCTCATCAGACACCAGTACAAGTTCAAGGAAGTGGACTAAAAAATTATTAATATAACTTGCAAGACCTTCTTAAATACATGTAAATATTTTTAAACTAAACAGTTAAAATGAAATTATAAAATTTTAACAATATACAGACAAACAAAACACTGAATAAATGAACAACTAACAAAATGCATTCATTCATCAATAGCAAAAAGTCAAATGTATCAAAGATTGGGTAAATTTCCAGGATAATAGTGACATTTAAAACATACTCCAAAAAAACCCCCAAACTAATTCCATTCCACAACTAATCCATAAATGGACTAACTTTATTTCAATGAATTAAATCCCTAGGTATACAGTATCCTATATATACAAGGTTTGAAGCAGATATAAATCATGAATTTAAACTGCACAACAGAATTTGGTGGTATTAGTGTTGTTTTTCTCATTAGCAAATACTGCTATGTACTGGCAGTTTTATTGATTTTTGTGACAAATTACCTACTTCTGGATTATCATACCATATGGGCTCATTATTTCCTGTTCAGAACATATGTTACTTTTAGGTTTAACAAAAAAGGTATTTAATAGCATTTTGATTTCCTTTAATGTGTTACATGCTTAACACTTAACCTGTTGGAACCAAAAAACAATTAGCACCTGGCCAACCGGTATAGCAGGCTCGCCTGTAGACAGGCTCTGTACTGTTGGTAGCACAATTTTTATATTTTGTATAAAAAACACAACACATTAAATTTTGTAGTATATTTCTGATAGAATGTGACATTCATGCATGTACATGTATATATTAATAGTAAGAATAATTTGGGTTAACCCAGCTAATGTGGGGGTACAAACAAACTTTTAAAGTTTCAAAATAAGTGCAACAGATTACCTAATTTATTGTGATTGGCTGACTGTTCTGAGAAGCTAAAATGGTAAAACTTTTACATGATATTTAGGATTTCCCTAGAAACCTGTCATAGTAATAATGTATAATATATATGACATCATCTATACATGTATATAGAGCAATATAAAAAACAACAACAAAAAAATATAGATTTATAAAAAAAATCAATTTAAAATTCCCATATTCATTTCGCATTTCTCTGATGTTCTTAGTACATATACCGTAAAATTCCTATTAAACGCCCCCCGGGAGCTAAACATTTTCCAAAAGGGAGGCTATTATTACAACAGTTTTTCCTAAATCCAAAAATCATTGTAAATACATTTAGTGTTAGCAAGTGTTGGTAATAACATTAAAAAGTGTTAAGATTTTAAAGTTCATACTGTAAAATAAAATGGATTCTGAATGATTTGAATGAAATTATGGATTTACTCAATGAGTTCAGCACTGATGAGTAGATGATTTTTCTTATCAAAAGGCCTTGGGGGGCCTTTATTAGGGGAGGGGCGTTTATTAGGAATTTTACGGTAGGTAGGGATTAGGGTTAAGCTATAATCATTTGTTCTATTTCCCATTGCCATGCCACCAGAGAGCTATTGCTAGACTGAATTATTAATTTCCTTTATATGCTAATGTCTTTTTTCTCTTTCTTATGTTGTTGTATAAATATATATTGTCATGCAGCCAAATTCTTATTTATATTGTTGTGAATTGCTGTTTTCCATGAATAAAGCAAAGTGATGTAATATGTACAGAAGATAGATACGAAATACAAACAGATATGCTGATGAATTATATATTAATTGAATCATATTTCTTCCATACAAATAGAAATTTCAGACAGGAAAATTAATACTTTCAATGATTCTAATGTTTTTATTTCTAAAATAGAACAGTTAGTAGGAATTGACCATTTTTTCCTCCTGTCCTCCAATCACATTGTCTCCACAAGGACTGTGACAATATTTATTCAAGTTAAGCTTACCCATGCATACTGAAAAGCTTCAGTTACTGTATTTGTTAACCAGCACTGATTCCACAATTTTGATATTGATCTCATTGATTTTTTTTCATCATACATAATAAATCTAAAAATTGTATCTCATTATAATTATGTTAAAAAGTACACTCAGGTTAAATGTACGAAAGTACTAAGTCATAACAGCAAATAAATCAATAACACATATGCCAAGCTGAAAAGTTTACACGAAAATTGTTACATACAAATGTATTACACGCATGACATGATTGTTAATTAAAGTTGCTACATCAGATATAATATCTATTATGCACCATATGGTAAGCTTGTTTCACTTTCTGTATCAACAGCACATATTGAAAGAACTTCAACAAAACATGTTTATAAATACCATATACAATGTACCGTACATCAAAAGGAAACATGCAATACTGTAAACTGTACATACACTCACAACACCATGTCAATATATTTGTCAAGATAAACCTTTTTTTAAAGAACTTCAATGTATAAGCAATGAGTCATTCATTCATGACTCAATAAATTTAGATTATAATGGTCAAATAAACTGAAAAAAATTACCTAAAGCTCTTAAAGCTTACACTGTATTTCCAGATTGAGTGATCTATTTAAAAATCCACAATTAGAAATAGATAAAAGGAAAACTAAACACAGGCACAGGTAGTTGTTAACGATGATATTTGGTCCGATACAGCGATAGCGTGATCCCATATGTTGCACGGCTGTAGATGGAGGCTATCTAACATTGATCCATTTCTCTACCAGTCATCAATGGTGATATTGGTTCCCTGAGACAGCCTACTCAAGGCAAATAACTAGTATTGATATTATAATTGAAGAAGTTCTAACTTCCAACAGCATGCATACAAGATTATATTAGATTGTATAATGTGGATGAATGAATATATTTGCTTAACAAAATCATTTGTGTGCCAAGAAAAAAAAGCAATGGTCATCATTTATTTACAAACTACAGTTAAGCCTGTGTAACTATTATTGTGACACTGTATCTTAGTTCCTCTAATACCTTCATACTAGTACAAATAAACCCTATTAGAAAATTAAAATGTGGCATAATGCTTTTAAACAATTTTACTCTTTTTCTTTTCTTTTTTTTTAATTATAGTGAAAAATATGTATTCTGACTGTAGATATTCCTATGCTGAGAAGTACTTCTCACTGATGGTCCTGTTGGACAACAGCAGCACAAGTCTTAAAATTTTGCAATGACTGGTTCTATAAGAATGGACAGTGTATCAGTGTTTATGAGCACTAAATTAAAGGCGCATTGTGCCTCAGAAAAGCTTTTATTTTCATTTCTCAAAAGATTTTTAATTGAGTGGGACTAAAAAAAGGATTGGAGCACCACTCTAAATAGTTACAGTATTCAGGTATATACCGGAAAACTGGTGCTTGAATGATAAAATGCTAAAATCGTGTTTTTTTACCCAATGGAATGAACTCTCAAAGGTCTAATTCATCTTTTCACAGCGATTTATGTATGATAATAAATGATGATTTTTGTAATCATGATTTCTGCAAGTGTAAAACTAGAGGTACTGCTCCAGTCCTGTAAATGAGTTAAATCCTTTTTTATTTTGGTGTACTTTTATACAATCCAAAAAGGTAACAAGCATATAACTTTCTCTAAAACCATTATTTAAAAATAATGAAATGTTTGCACTTTTAAGTAAAGAAATTATTTATTTTTGAGGCATTATGTGCCTTTAAGTAATGAAGTACAGACATCTTATCCAGCAGAGAACATGAATTAAGTTGTTACCATTATAATCAGGGTTCTCACTAGGACTTTAAAACATGGAGTCCATGGACTCCCAACCCTGAAAAAGTTGGAGTCCAAAAGCGCGTCGCAATTAATATGTTTACAGATTAGTCATTTAATTGCTGATATTTTGAATCTTCAAGAGACTTCTAAAGTTTATAGTTATTCAAAAGAAACTCTGAACTACATAGTATAATTATTGTTTTGTTGTTGATATTTATTATGAAATTATTTCATTATAATGCATCAACACATGGAAATCGTTTTTGTTTGGGTTTTTTTTCCACTTTTATACCAAATCAAATTTCATTCTGGTTAAATAAGTCCACTCTAAAGACAAAAAGTTTATATTTGTAAAAAAAAAAAACGTAAATGTATTTGTGTATTGTTTCTGGTTGTAAACAATCGGTAATGTTTATGCGTCCCCAGGCAAAACTAAGCGTACGTGGAATCCTTGCTCTGAAATATTTGCGTCCAGCTGTAATAAACATGCGTACCGGGACGCCGAAATAAGCGTCCCCGAGAACCCTGATGTCACACAAATATGTACCAGTACCATTATTTTTTGCTTTAAGTCTTCTACTGAACCTGGCTTTTGTATATTTATAAATGTCAAATCAATGTCATATTTCATAATAATGATAATACCGGTATCTATAATACAAAAATACATCACAAATTGGTGACATTTAAACTTTCTGTTTTACCACACCAACATAATTTGTATCATTATTTTAAGTTGATGTGATGTGATTTATGAAAATATGAAGCAACTGAAATCTACAATACTGATAGATCTACATATATTATGCTGCAATTTACATTTGATTTTCACAATCTGGAAAAATCACAGAAACTTCCAATACTGTATTATTCTAATATTGACAGCTGACTTTCTAAGGAGATATACAGAATGACAAATTCATGAGATGATGGTCACATAGCTATCACTCTACAAGGGGATTGTCTCCTGGACAAAAATTATCATAATATCCCATCATCCATTATCAAAATTTGAATGACAATCCTAATACCTACTAATACCACAAATTCAATGCAAAAAGAAAGACCAATACAGTCAGATTGCACTCTCCTAAGACCTAAATAATGCATTACAGACAACTTCCTATTAAATCTCATAAGTAGTTTTGTACATATAATACATATATCATCATCCATCTTCTCAGACAGACAGTTTTGCTTACAACAGTTTTTGTGACATCTTGGGGCGCCTTTTTACCGTAAAGTAAAACTTCTGTAATACATTAACATGATCTGTTATTTTCTATCACAATGTCATTTATTCAGGTTGAAGACAATTGTTTTTTACTCCATTGGCTTTTCATCTGGAATAAATTGCAGGAATTTACAAAATTTTACTATAAATAAAAAATCTTATTTATTTAACTTGAGTACCCTATATATACGTGCACATTGCATCTTGTTTTGACTGCATAATCAGGTACCAGTATATATTTTTCTATTACTACAAAGTAATTATATACAAGTATAGTAATATTATATACATGTATATCCATCAGTTACATTGAAGTAACATTGTTCATGATTATTTTATTTTAATTAGCATGTATAGTTTATTTAACTAGATACCTAATTCATATCTTCCTTAACTACAGTTTTATACAGAAGGCCTCTATTTGAAATTAAAACAGTAATTGATTAAGTGAGCCAATGAATATGATGTGATATTCACCGGCAGAAAATGATATTGACCTCTGTTATCACCTTGTCATCGTTCTGTTGGTGAATATCACATCATATTCAATGGCTCACTTGTTTATTTATAGTATATTCTTTCTGCCACAGTAACGTATTTAAACCCATACTTTTTCCTTTCTCCAAAAGCCGACCTTATTTTTCGAAAGAACACCCACAATGTAATAAAACGTGTCAAAATTTTCTATTCTCAAAAGCGGATGTTGTTTTGTCGTAAGAAACCCGGCAATATGTTCATCACATTATTTTGCATTAGCTACTTTGAAAGCATTTTTCAAAAGATGGTAAATATAATAAATGTTTTAAGAAACAAGTTTTTTTTTTAAAAAAAATGTCATTTTTATAAAAATCAGTTTTAGTGTGTCACTGATAGTTTATTAATCATATTATTGGATAAAAAAAATTGGTAATTTAATTCAAATCAATTTTAGGTTACAAATACTAACTTATTTCAACCATGCGTAACTTTTTCCATTTAACTAATAATAAGGCTTCTAAAACATGTTTCTACCTTATAGAAGATATGTTTGTCTTAATTGTCAAAACCTAATCTATGATATTTTTCTAAAGACAAGGTGATTAATTATTGCTTATTAGATTAATCATTTTTACAGAATTCTACGTTTCAGTCATTTGTCGGTAACTCCTCATTTACGGTTTAACACGTAGTGGATATCATATTTACCTATACCGCATAATGACCCGTAATGTACTAAAACGTATTTTCGTCAAAATGGACATTTATAAATATCTGAGATTTTTATTTCACAGCAAACAAACACCTATCCCCATAACGTAAAATGACGGTGTTTTCAATATTAACGATGGACAACCATATCGTTGAAATATGGTATATTCCTCGTTCGCAAGAAAGTCTGAACCGTATTTATGCGTAAGATTTATCAGAAATTACGCTTTATAAGTCTTTACTTAAATCTTTTACGCTGATTTCCATTTCAGTTTTTAAGACTGTTGAAAAAACACACGTTTTATTACGTTTCGGGTTTCCTTCATTAATTCAGACCCCGCTTTTAGGGTTTGAAATAATTTGCCCGTTTTAAAACGATACGGGTGTCAGTCCGAAAAAGAGGGTCGGTAGTGGAAAGGATATAGGCCTATTATAGGGGTCATTTTTGGATATTATCATTAATATTGGTTATTTGATAGAATTTAGAGTATTTTCGATTTATCTAAAATCTATTATTAATTACCGATACAATACAGAATTTTTTATTGGTTCATCTGACTGGTCATTCTATTTTGTATTAGTATTTTTCGGATCACTGATTTAGTTGTATTCCTACCCATTATTATAAATAAAGTTGTTTTTCGCGGTTTTTACAGTTCTTAGATTCAGATCTTTTTTCTTCCCAAATGTGTCAGAGAGCCACTGTAGTCTGTATATGTATCACTTTAACATATTTAGTGGTTGCTGACCTTGTTTACAGCCTAAAAACTATTGTCTATATTTATCTATAAACGTATGTGCGAATTAAAACGTATACATACCATCTGATAGATATTCTTTTTATAATAATTTATGCTTTACTTTAAAAATCTTTCCTTACAAATGCATTAGATCTAATTGTTTAGTGTATGTTGACAAGATTCGATATTTTTCTTCTTCTCCATCTGTCATGAATGACTAACTTTACATGTGCACCGTTTTGGAAAGCACGCCATTTTTGTTGATTGACTTAAAAAACTGTAAGTGAAAAAACAACTTATTATTTAGCAATTTAACGTTTATTTCAGACAAATTTTGTTGCATAAGTGACAAAAGTATGTCTTTTGCCTGTCTTTTTAATCACTGATAAAATTATGACCCTTCTATCGGCTATGGCTTCATCAGTCATTATTAAGAAAAATCAATAAAAAATACGTTGTGGCATATTAAGGTTCTTGTGCTTACGTCTGACAAAAAATTGATTTTGTAAATGGAGCCATCGCCATTTGTGTATGTTAGACTCACTGATTTACAGACAGTTCACCCCCTCAGATACTTTACCACAAAGCCATTTTTTGCTTAGAATCTAGGTCGAGTGTAGGACAAAAAGCCCCCCCCCGGACGAAAGCCCCCATCTAAAAATGACAAGGTGGACAAAAGCCCCCCCCCATGAAATTTTCACATAGGACAAAAGCCCCCCCTCCCCCATCAAAAATACAGGTAGGACAAAAGCCCCCCATCTTTTTTCACACGCACAGTAGTCCAATATACCTGTAGGATACCTGTAGGATGATTCTGGGCTCTGATGGAAGGGCCAAGCCCCTTTTTAAGCCCCTCTTCTTTTGACAATCTTTCAGTACATTCTTCTTATTGCTCTCACCACTTCTATGTTTAATTATATACTTTTATCTATTTCTGTTCACTCTGCTGTACAATTATAACAGCATAATTTTTCAATAAACATTTTAAACTTTATATGGAGTGTCTCCGGTCCAGTGTTGGTCTAGTTTTATTTTAAATTCATGAACACTTTTTGAGTCTACTACATTTTTTGGCAAATTATTCCATGTTTTAATTACACGTCTTGAAAACTGATGTAGGCAATGAGTTGTTCTACTACGAGGCATTTCTAGTTTTAAATTATGTCCCCTTGTTGATGCCGAATAACTAAAAAAATTTTCAAAAACACAGTCATCTAAGCCTTTTAATATATTAGACGTTACAGGCTTGTTATAGTTTATGTCGGTCAAGCCTGACGTCTAAAAGTTATTGCTCAAAAACGCAAAGCATCATAAAAATTTAAAAAATGTCTATTGTCTTGCCTTTCAAGCTTTATTCAAAAGCTTATCTTCTTTTCTTTCAATTTCATGCTCAATAATATACAAAAACTCTCAAACAATGTACTTATAAATTTAAAATAAAATATAAACATCAAACTATTTTTGTCTATCAGCCATACTGGTTAATCAAGGTGCTTTACAGATTAATTCCAAATTTTTGAACGGAAAAATATATTCGAACACACTGACGGTGCATGGGCAATTATTTCGTTAAAAAAATATTCCGTTAGATTGTTCTGACTCAGTTAAACGCTTGCATTTGAATTAGCCAATCAAATTTCGCGCACTTTATGGCCGCCATTTGTTTATCAGCTGTAAAAAGAATTGAAAAATATGGGGTCCGAAAAATATGAGAGGATTTAATCATGATTTTTCGGATGTGACAGTTTAATTATTTTGACAAAAGATATTAATTTTTTAGTTTTGTTCGTAAATAGGTTAAAACTTATGTAAATACACGCTGTCTTCATTGTTTTTCGTTCCGCCCGATTTTCTGGCGGAACATGCAACGGGTTTTTGAGCAATTTCGATATGACGTTGCTTTGCCCAGAAGCAAAAATATCTCAAAGCGACGTCATATTTATAGGACTACACGCACAGGTGCTCAAATTCATCAAATTTCACACAAACTTTTAAATAAAAATGAAAAGAATTTGTTTTAATGTTTATTTAGAATGTATATAATTATTGAAGTGATAACAAAGTTTATGATAACATATTAAATAATGCATGCATGCGATACCAAATTCATAGCTTTTCATATATACAACAAGGGTCAGAAGAGTAGTAGTGTTTAATCACTTTTGTAAAGGGATCAAATTAATATCCTTAGCACTATGTCACCTACATGTGATGTCCATACATACCTTTTAAACACATAAAAAACCCAACTTTAATACACTATATGTAAATTTGATTGACTATAGGGGGGGGGGGGGGGCTTTTGTCCTACCTTTACTTTTTTATGGGGGGCTTTTGTCCTATGTGTAAATTTCATGGGGGGCTTTTGTCCACCTTGTCATTTTTAGATGGGGGGGGGGCTTTCCTCCGAGGGGCTTTTGTCCGTACCCCATCTAGGTCATCAAACCGAATTCATGTGGGTTCAAATCCCTGCCTTGTTGCCTAATGCCATTGTACCTTATTGTAAACCCAATATCAAAGACTATTCTAATACTCATTATGATTAACAGAGGACTTGATATAATCAGAGATCTGCGGAGGTCACGATTTTTGCACAATTGGCTCCAAAAATTGAAAATGGGGTAGAAATTGAAGAAATCAGTATCAAAGGAACATGACTTGTATGCATCAAAAATCTGCACCAAACATGTTTCGGCATGAAAAAAAAGGTCCGCTATAGCTAGTCCGTTAGGTTATTTAGTCATCCAGACAAAACTTGTATGAACAGCGACGGGTTTTTAACTGGTGTCACAAATCCCTCTTTATGATAACATGGCGTTGAATTGCAATAACATATTATTTTCAATCAGTGGCATTAAAATTACACTTATTTGCCAAAAACAATCTAAAGTGTCTGTTTATGAAAGAAGGCTCAAAGAAAGAGTTCCCGGAGTATGCATATTTAATTAAATAGGCGGTGCTAATCTCTAAATACTTACAGCACTACAAACTCAATTACTCGCTCAATTGCTTGATTACGGCAGTAGATCGCATTATCATAAATCTCTTTTTTTTAATTAATCAACGGCGATTATATTTACAAAAATCTCTTTAAATATCATTGATGTTGTTAATGTTTTATAAAAAAATGCAAGAAAATTCTTTATAAGTTCATAAATAGCAAAATTACAGGCCGGTTCTGTCGATTTTGGTAATTTGGTCAATCCTGGTAAGTTGAGTAACAGTGTTTCTGCCAGAGCGCGTTTTTGGCGCACTATTTTCAGCCATGACGCAATGAAATTTAGTTAGTGCGTATTTTGTGACGCAAGAATTTCACCGTCGCTGATTTCAACACAAGTCAGATATACAGACTATAAACCGTCAATTCAGTATAAAAATGTACGGAATGTTTACCGTGGGCTCCACTATAATTTTAATGAGAAGTGAAATTTACCGGGTCCGTGGTCCGGCATTTAGCCAATTTCAACTAGTTAATAAACGCTTGCATTTATACGTTACTGCATATTCAATTCAATATTTTATTTGGCATTAAACTACATATAGCATATAGCCATTATTACATAATATAGGTAAAGTGTAAGACATTTTACAATAAATTGTTCATAAAACAGTACAAAATGTTTTCAGAGAAGTTATTAACAATATACCTTCATGAGATTTAGCAATTAACAATATGAGATATATACTTAACATTGAAATAAATTGTTATTGTTGTCTATATGTATATATATATATATATGTATGCAAATACAATCATACAATATGTTTTCAGATATGTTAAGATCTAACAATATACAAGTTAATCAGAATTTCTTACTTTAAGTGAAAAATATAAATATCTTGACAAATTATTAAGTTCTTTTTCATTTTAGATGACAATAAAGTTTCCATTTTTTGAAGTGTAGGCCAACGGCAAAAATATGGTTTTAAAAATTTCTTACGAAGGTTATAATATTTTGGACAAACGAGTAAAAAATGGAATTCGTTTTCAATGACATGCATATTGCATTGTTGACATAGTCTATTTTCTCTTGGAACTCCGTTGTGTCTACCAATTTCAATTTCTAGATTATGTGATGATAGTCGAAATTGCGTCAGTTGTACTCTGTATTTATTTATATTTACACAATTTAAGTATTTTTCAAATTCGATGTTGTACTTATACATACTGTATGTTTGTAATTTACTTGAATTATTTATTTCTGAATACCAAGTTTGTTTATATATATCTAATATTCTATTCTTTATTATTTGAAATGATATATTAATTTCGTTTTGCTGTAGCCATAGAAAAGAAAAACCTATTTCGTCAAGTATTTTTTTTATTTGATATGCCCAATTATTTCCGTTATATGTTATTATTGACATCTTCTTTCATGACATTATACATTTTTCTTATTAATGAATTATTTTCTGAGCTCAAAATTTTTAACCAATATTTAATCATAATAATTTTACGGTGTATTCTCATCGGATACCGTCCCAGTTCTCCGTAAAGACCAGCTAGATTCGTTGATTTTTTAACGCTAAGTGTCTTTCGTAAAAATTTACAATGTATACGCTCAATAGCTTTACCCTCGTAATTGCCTATTATTTCGGCGCCATAATTTTGAATTGCATATATTGAAAGCGCCCAGACAAAATTATTTATTTTGTTGTCGTCATATTCTGCGAACGAATAACTGTCTGCTGGAAAATGCAGTCTGCGTATATGTTAGTGTTCATCTGTGCTGTTCTACAGAAATTAGAAACTTCGAAGGGAGCGATAGCGACAGGAGAATGTTTCTAATTTCTGTAAAACAGCTAAGGATGAACACTAACATATTTAGTGTCAAGCTTTATTTGGCCCTTGATTACGTCACTAGGCGGTACTATGAAGCACTATGAAAAATAGAAGGCGACTATGAACGAATTTCAATATAGTATCGACTTTCTTTCTTCTATGAAAATTAACACACATAATTTTTAAGAAATACAGCGTTATTATTGGATGACAAATAATCCAAAATAGCAGAGATTGACCAATTTCTTCACGAAAAATATACAAAATATTGTAAATAAAACTTATAAAGTGTTACCTGTTTTTTTTTTTTACATTTTTGTTAAATTTATTGGCATGACCCTTATGAATTTGAAATGACCCCTAAAATATCATACAGGGGGTCATAAAAGACCCTCAGAAAATCAGAGCTGGC